GTGCCAAACGTTGGTCAGAAGCATCAAAAGTTCTCCTTAAAGATGACGAGCTGTATCTATCATGACTTCTGACTGAGCTGTTAAATTCAGACTTGTGCAGCAAAGGCTGAGTAGGAGTCTCGTAGCTTTTCCTCAAAGGGGGAGATTTATGACTTTCACGACTACGGCCATGTAATAAGCTACCGGTGTCTGTTTTCTTCAGCTGATACCTGCTGGGGGTGTCATAACCCCTCCTTCCAGGAGAGGAAGAACGGCTATCCCGACCTCGACTGCTCCTGGCAGGGCTTGATTCAGTCTTACGCAGTATGGAATGACTTGGTGTATCATGACCTCTTTTAGATGGAGACGGGTGGATGGGGACTTCTTGTTCTTGATCTTTCTGCCCATTTCTAACAGATGGGTTACGCAACAGAGCCTGGCTCTCAATATCATAACCTTCTCTTATCGGGGACCCACAGCGTGTGTGGTGACTGCGCCCATTTAGAGACATAACGGACTCAGATTTATGAAGTAGTGATTGGCTAGATGAACTGTAGGTCCTCCTTGGTGGTGAGGAGCTGCGACTGTCAGAAGTCCTTCTTGATGGAGATGAAGTCCTTCTGTTATACACACGTCCATGTGATAAACTAGTGCTGGTTTCAGTTTTGTGAAGAGGCATTTGGCTTGAACTGTTAAAGTCCTTCCTCTGCGGAGATGAGCTCCTGGAGTCGCCACCCCGACCACTTAAAGACCCATTTGCTTCCGTCTTTCGCAAGGTACTCCTAAAATCAGAAATCATGCTGGATTGGGATTTGACTGAACTGGCAAACGATTTGAAGTTTCTTGGCAGGGTTCCCGACTCAATACGTCGCCCATGTGTGCCTTGCAAGGAGCTTCTAGACCCCGGCTCCCTCCCTGGAGACCTCCCCCCACCGTCAAAGTTAGTCCTGCTGAGGGAAGCGATGGATTCGCTGCGTCGGAATGTCGGGTTTCCACGTGAGGGAGAAGACGAGCGAGACTGCAGAGCCGAGCTTTGCCTCGGGGAGTTGTACGACCCCGACTGCTGATAGGAAGAGACGGGAGAAGAAGGGCTTACACGGCCGTATGAACTGCTGAAACCCTTTCGTCTGCTAGAGGCCAGCGACTCCGCTATTTTAAAGGGAGTAGGGCTCGGAGAGCGAGGGCCAACTTGTGCCTCGACCTCAACTGCAATTTCATATGGGTCAGGAGGAGGGATTTCCACATCCACGTCCTCATCCACAGCCTCTGGTATCGGCCTTTGAGAAGCCACACCAAGATTAGGATTTCTGAAGGGAACGATGTCTTTTGGCTCGACGTTCCTGTTGCTGAAGATGGGATGGCCTCGCTCGAAGTGGCGGAACGGGCTGTCATGGAGCGAACGGGCACCTGCTGCCCTCCCCAGCGAGAAATAGCCACTTTCGCGCTTCTCTCGCTCTTCTTTCAACCCTGGAAGAGAAGAAAATATTTTTTAAATAGGATGAAATAGAAAGAAGCAACGGTAACAGAAATAGGAGAAGCAAAGGTCAAAGTTCAACCTCTGAGCAACTACCAGAGGTTTCCTGACACAAACCGAGCTATATTGTATTACTGATAATTGCTCTTGGACACTTCACCTGATGACAGCAAATAGTATTGCCAAGTAAATAACACCTCTGGCTGTAACTGGATATAGATTGGTCAATTGCAGCAAGTCACAAGTTTACTAAAGACTCAGTCGACCGCTGTACGGAGTATTTGCAAATATCTTTGGCAATTCTGCTACCTCTGTTTCTCTCTTTCTTATAATTTTTCTTTGGTTTATGAGTCTAATGTTCTAAGAAATTGATTCAGCAACACACAATGTCAGCCTACAAGTACCCGAATGTCTACTGAAGCTGTCTCTGCTCCGAGAGTCATCCATCCAAGCCCTTGGGTTGGGCCGGTGGGGTGGCGGGTCAAGCCGGGTCATATCGAGTTTGACCAGGTGGCGACGGATCGGTGGGTATTCGTCCTCTGCACTGGCTGAGCCACTGAACTCCTGGTAGTCGCTCTGCTCACGACAGCTACGTGGAAGAAGAGATGGAAGAAGAATGACGAGAGCAGAGATGAACGAGGTGAGAGATCGGGAGTGGGGAGTGAAAAGCAAGAGAAGAAGTCAGAGAAAAGGAGAAAATTTGATCAGTTTAATAGACACGTCGTAAAACTTAAGCCATTTTTCAGGTCAGAGAGCATGGTGAATGCAGGAAGATCAATATAAACTACAGTACGTTTTAAATCTAACTCCACAAACTCTCACACTACACTTTAGAGTCATTGAATTGCCATTGCAGCTCCTTTTATCATCACGATGCCTTCTTTCTTACCTGTCTGTGCTGTCGTCGTCAGCCTCGCAGATATAAAGCTCGCAGTCGGGGCTCAGGATGCACAAAGAGGGCTCCCCATAACCCAGACGACCTCCATTGACATCGCAGTAGCTGCTCACCACTGACAGACCATCAGAATCCTCCTGATAGGATGAGAGGGAAAGACATGGACAAATCACAATTTTGCGGCAAACTCCATCCCTCTATCTCTCCAAGTCACAAAAAGAGGAGAGGAAGTGATGCGCCTCCACCGGCACGTGAAGGTTCACTGAAAGTACACATCAGAGTGCATACATGACAAACCCTCTTCGTCTGGCTCCGGCTCCTGGAACAGCAGTTTTGATAATAGCGTCTGTCCCCTCTGTCCTCCCTGACAGACGCTCACATGTGCTGCTGTTCGATTAGGGTTACACCTCTGTAACCTGACCTGGCTCGTGGCTTTCCTCATTAATATTTCATCACTTTTTTTTTTAACTCGTCCTCTGCATAAACTTTGCCGTCTCAAGGAATGATTGAAAACTGTCTGCAAATGCCAGAGAATGACAATCCCCAACACCTTCTAGGAATCTACAGGTAATATACTACGGGATCTAAAAGAAGCACAATCAGGTGTAAAATATGCACATAAACAGATTATTGCAGACGTTTCATAGAGGCATATCAAACAGAAGCTGGGGCACAGGTTTCTGCCGTTTCGAAACTGTCCAGAAACATGCCCATCCTCTCTGAACCCCCGTCTAATATTACAAGTCATTCCCAAGAGGGCAGTAAATGATCCAGCTTCATTCATTTTTAATAGAAGCCACTACTGCTACCCTGCTCCACACCATTGGCTCTTATTCTCCGTCTCTGATCTCTCTTTCATTTACTCACAAGTAGTAAAGTTTCAGACATGATCGCATTTACTTTGTTTACATGTAAAGTTGAATGGGAATTCCTTAATTGGTCCTTTCTTTAACCAGAGAATCGAACTCTAGGGTTAAGTCAGGTGTACTTAAGTTTAAGAGTAATCAGTAGATTATTAAATTAAAGTTAAAGCAGTACAGCAGTGCCTTATTGATTCCTGCACCAGAACATCTGATCTCAGTGCTGCGCTGCCTTACTGCTTAGACCTGTGACCTCTAATGCATCTTCCTGCTGCTCTTCACGTCCAGCTAATCCCATCACTCAGCGCACATTGAGTTCTCATTATCTCTTCCTGGTTACCTTGCTGCTGTTGCTGTGCACATCACCGTCCTGCTTGTCTCACCTTGCTGCTGGTGTCTCTTTCCTCCGCTTGGGAAGAAATCGGTGTTAACGCTTCTCCCTTTCTTGACCCAATCCCGGTTTTAGCCCCGGCTCCGGACTCGGCAGCAGATATCTGTTGCTGCGTGACCTCAGTGCTCCCCCCCGCACCGGCGTGCAGGTGCCTCTGGCGCAGGCAGTCGTGGCAGCGGGAGGGGTCGAAGATATTGGGCTGGAACTTGGGGCAGATGGGCTCATTGGCGGAGAGGGCCATGGTGAACGCAGAGGGAGAACCTGGATGTTCATTGCCTCCAACAGAGAAAACTGGGAAACCACAGCAGGAAATATGCAGAAATATTTATCTAACACTTGAGGAAGACTTATTAAAAAAAGACTGTCAAATTACAGAAGTGTTTCTGCACATTAATTCTAATTTGGTAACGTACCAAGCAAGCATGAGCCACTAATGCGTGATTGTGACACATTACTGTAAGGTGGTGTAAGCAGAGCAGCTGCAAACAGTGCATACTAAAAAAGGGGTTTTTGTTTCAGGACGTGAGAACTGTTAAGATCACTGATAACTAACCGCACTCGCAGCTGATGAAATACAGTCCAGTCAGAGCAGTTCCACAGTACTACACACCACAAGACACATGCACTGTAACCAAGCAACTTCTACAAGCACCAGCGCCTCTGGTAATAGTCAACATGTCAATTAAGCCTTTAATAGTGTAAAACTGAGGATGGTAGAAATATATAAAAATGTTATGAAAAAGATTTAAAATTACCTGACAAGAGGGGCTCCAGCCTTCAGCGTGTCATCATTAAGGATGAACTGCCCATCAGACCCCCATCAGGCACATGCCTCCTCTTCCCCATGCTCTCTGTCCTCCCGGCCTGCCAGACACTTGAATCAATCTGATTGGCTGCTCTGACAATGAGTGAAACTGCAGCATCTGTGCCATCCATGGCGGCTCTTAGCCGACACGGCTGAGACCCTGAAGCGCACACAAACCCCAGGACCAAGATGGAGCCAGTGGCTTATTGGTTCTCCTATTGAGCAGCTGTATTAAATATCATGGGCTTTAGAAAGCGAAATGAAACGCTCATGCTAGCGACAGCTGGCACACGCTGGCTCAGGTTAACGTAAATAAATAAACACCGGCGAGGTGGGGGTGTTTAACGTATATTAAAGCCGCTGGCTGTTTATCGTTCTACATGAAACTGCTTGGTTCTCCTTTAGATCACACAAACACAGGTGATACTCAGCTAGGAGGAAATACAGAGCTAAGGGTTGGTTTCCTGATGTTCTCCAGAGGATGTTGACAACAGCATCAGGTTTCCTATTAAACAATAGAGCACAGTGGGACAAAATTCCTCACAGGGCACGCTGACATAATGTGACATATGACCGCAACATGAGATCATCAGAAATTATTCAAATTTACTTTAATCAAATTTGAGGTAAATACAGCACACTCAGTACACAATTAACAAATAATGGGAAGAAACAAAAAAAGTTGGAAAATGTACAAAACTGAGCACAAGATTTCACAGGGCAGGTAACTCCAACATCATCTTTATGCATACACGTATTCTGTTTGACGCGTGAGCATAAACACAACCAAGTCCAGTTTGTTGAGCTGGCCTAACAAGAGCAGAAGTCCATTGTCAGGAGTTTCTTCCTCCCTTCATGCACTCCTTCAGTCCTGATGATGCACTTTCTTCCCGGTCTGTCTACGTCTCTGACGCTTGCTGGTCCTGCCGCCTTTGTTTCTACCCTCTGTGACACCAGGTCTCTTCTCTGTCAGACGCCCCCGTCCGCCTCGGCCTTCCTGCTTCCCTTTCCTCTTCCGCTTGCTGGTGTAAGTGCTGAGCTGCGTTGTAAGGGAGCGGATCCTGGAGTGATGAAAGAGCGAGAGAGAAAAATAAATAAACCAATCAGCTGGAGTTAGAGGGGCCAGGTAAGGTAGCTGTGTGTACTCTGGAGGAATGCAATTAGGGATGGGTATCGAAAACCGGTTCTTGTTGAGAACCGGTTCCCACTGTTTCAATTCCTTGGAATTGTTTGCCATTTTTGCAAACGATTCCATTATCGATTCCAGTCGCCCCGAATGACGTCACCACGTTGCGGAGCGTCATTTACCTGGCAGGAAACACGGCGCCTTAGCGGCTCAAATGCTCAAAAGTTTGATTATACTTTACGAGAACAGATGACAACAGGGCAACTTGCAATACTTGCAAAGTAGATATTTCATTTAAGGGAGGAAACACTACGAATATGCAAAAGCATTTGCTCACAAAACACGCGATGACCTTAAATGAATGTTGTGTTTTTAATTCTGCTCCGGACTCGTGAATCTCAACCCAGCAGCAGCGGTGACGTTTGCACGTCCTCTCCCGTTAATGCGGCAGGTAAATAATCAACTAACAGTGCATATTATGTTAGCGCAATCTGCCTTATTACAAAACCTGCCATTACTGTGCATTTAGGTGACCATGATGAGAGAGACAGACAGACAGATGCTGGCAGTTCTCGCTGCAGTCTACTGGTGGCGTCTCCTTTCAGGCCAGAATAGACGAATGTCACCGAGCAGTGACTATGTTTGTGGTAAAGGGCTTGCACCCATTTGCCACAGCAGATACCCCCGATTTTCAGTAAGTGAATGTGTTTAATTGTAGGCAGGGACAATACTGGATATTCTTGTGTAATTGCTACTGAATAATTTATGTTATACTTTGTTATTGCTACAGATGAATATTTATTTTATTATTTTACATTTACAATTTTTTTTTCTGGGGACCCTGTGACACCCCATTGAAGAGCCGTAGGCTGGATCTCTTAAGATCTCACTGTTGGGTTTGTAAGGCCGTGTTACTCCTAAATTTCTATCTTGTTCAAAGAGAAGATATAAAACAAAGTTCTAAGCTAATCGACCTCAGTGTTCTCCTTTTTAAAGAGAATCGATAAAGAATCGAATCGTTAAACAGAATCGAAAATGGAATCGGAATCGTGAAAATCTTATCAATACCCATCCCTAAATGCAATGCAGCATAGTATTAAGATATTTCACGTGTAGATATTGTATTGATACAGGGACACCAAATATCAATGTTTTATTAAATACATTATACTCTGAGAATACTACAAACAGAACAACTCATCTTATCCACCAGCATCATCCTGACATGACATTAGCTGAGCAAATGAAATCAGCTCAAACGAAAAACCGTCCAACACTGGACACAAAGTCCAACGTTTTAATCTTAAAAGCAGGACACAACTGATCACAAGCTGCTCTCAATTAGAGACGTGATTAACAAACTGCTTACTTTTTGTTAAGTATTGGATTCCCAGCTTTTTTTGGCATTCCAACCATTTTCTCTTCCTCTTTCTCCCCCTCCACCTCATCGTCACGCTCCTCATTAGCCTTCAAAACAAGCATACTCAGTGTTAATGCAGTATTATTACCTTCAGTGTTATCTTCAAACTTAGAAGAACACACACATATAGCCTATTCAGATGATTACAGACCTTAATATTTACCTGGTTTGCTGCAGCTTCGAGAAGGCGAGCTCCTGTGAGGTCAAGATCACTGATGGTTGTCACGGTTACTGTGTGGTTGGGATGATCGTACTGCATAGACTCTGTTGTGCTGGTTATTGCATCTTCCAGATCATCTTCGCCTTCCTCTGCAATACAGGATCACATAAAGGACAATGAAGCTACATGCACAGATTATGAGACATCAGTAAAATAACCAGAGCGCAAGTTTTCCTGTAAACTCACCGAGAGCTTCTGTCCTCTCCTTCAGCATCTTTATGTATTCCTTGTGTCTCTGTAAGGAGACAAACACATTTAATACATTGCCTATTTTCTCAACATGCTCAGGCGTTTAGCAAAAACAGGCTTTAAATCGGGGCTCTTTTCCATGAGGACTCACGTCTTCTCTGACTCTTATCTGCTCTTCCTTGATTTTCTTTCGAATTTCTTCTACTGCCGCTTTCCTCCTCTCCACCTTACGCTTGTGAAAGCCGGTAAGATATTCCCTGAGAGAGAAGCAGATTAAAGTCCAAAACCAAGATTTATTAAGCCAGACTTAGAAAGGTGTACTTTATTAAGGAGAAACTTTATAACTCAAACTGGAAGACTGGCTACAGTTAATTTATGAGGTTTACATTACCTAACAAAAAACTTTAGTCAAATAATAACATTTCTAGAAATTAACGATATTTATAAATGCAGGTATATGATCGTTTGAACACCATGCACCATCAGCATGTTTAAATATGACGAGGAGAGTGGGAAGATGGGAAAGCCTCCACTTATTTGGTTAAAATCTTACACAAATTACACACATTTATTTCCAACAAGCTTCCCAAATAAAAACATTTACTAAAAGCTGGTACTAGTCCATGCTAATCAGCGCTAGTGCTATGATGCTAGCTAACATGTTGAAACAGTGTTTTCAGCGACGCGCTTTCAAACTCACTGTCTGTTTTTCTCGTCAAACGTTACGATGCATTTGTTCTCCCTCTTCTTCGATCCTGGCTTGAACTTAGCCTTTTTGGAGCCTTTGTTTTTAAAGTTTTTCATGTTGTGCACGTGAGTTCGCTAAGTTACTATACCGCACGTCTCTTATTTTTGTCCGGGGGGGAACACATACCACATGACCTCTACAGTTCCAACAGTTTGATAGCGGCGTTTTAGTTTTTTTTTTTTTTAATTACATACACACTAGAAATAAAATAAAATAAAATTAGCGTGGTGGCTAGCACTGTTGCTTCACAGCAAAAAGGTCCTGAATTTGCGTGTTCTCCGCGTGTCTTTCTGTGTTGTTTCCGGGTACTCTGGCTTCCCACAGTTTGAAGACATGCAGTTAGTGGGGTTAGGTTAGGTGGCGATTCTAAATTGGTTGTGGGTATAAATGTGAGTTTCATATTTAAAAATGAACTGAACTGTTTCGATCTGTCCAAATTGTACCCCACCTTTCGCCCTATAACGATAGATGGGATAACCTCCAGCCCCCCACGACCCTCAATTAGATACACGGAAGAAAATTAATGGATGGAATCAATCCATCAATCAATCAATCAATAAACATGTCAACAAACATTGCTTACCGGTTATAGTACAGTGGGAAATAATCTTTGACGTATTAACTATAAACACATCACAGAAGATGCACAGATGTAATTCTGGCCCCAGAAGTGTTTTTTGGTCTTGATCTTAAATATTCTTGTCTTAAGATCCGTGGATTAAAATCATCACCAGTGTGTATTTTGTTTAATAAGAGAAAGACGAGAGATTTTCTTTCTTTTGATCGATTTTATTTTCAGGGAAAATCCTCGTTATGAGAAGAGATGGGTGGACTCCAAAGCAAACCCGAAACTGCACCAACACGGAACAACATTTAGAGAACTTAAAATTAAGAAGATAAAAAATATTTTCCCCTAAAATAAATATTTATTTCATACATAAATTTATAGCTCATGTTATAATCCCTCTAATTGTATGATTTTCTCATGTCTACTTATTTTAAATATACAATCCATGTACTGCAGTCAAGTCACTCCATTAAAATTAAAGGAGCGTCCTACACCTGAGCCCCTATGAATGCATCAGCTGTCATTATGCACACTCACTTTTACTGAAAAAAAGAAAAAAAATAATCAAGGAAACCTTTTACCTTCATATTGTGAATATTATCAAAGCATATAACACTGTGTCCAAATCTGGTGCATTTTAAGTTTCCTTATTTTTTTTCCTCCAGCATTTTGAGCACTCATAACTTCGAATCATAATTGCATGGCTCCTTTCCCTCTCCTCCTACTGTAGGGGCTTACTGTGCAACCAGAAACGTCTCATCTCTGTAAAAAGTGCACAAGTGTTTCATTTGAAGGCGAAAACTCAACTTCAGCACAGTTATCAGATTTCACTGGCCTTCACACCCAGCCAACGCCCACCTTCCCCTCTTTAATTTGCTCCTTCACATATTACTCATCGACAATCACTGAGTAACATACAGCATTTAGTAGAGACCAGTCACTCTCACACTTTCATGTGTCATTTTATTAGAAAACATCCAAATGAACAGATAAATTCAGACCATAAAAACACCTCAAGGGAAAAAAGACAAAAGAAACAAAATAAAAACAAACAAACACTCCAGCTCGCAGATGTTGTTGAACATAAATTTCTTCTTTGTGTAGTTTACCAGTCAGGGAAGCCTAATCTAAACTGATAGCAACACTTTCAGTACTCCTTAGATTACAGCTTGAGTTGACCTGGAAGACAGGGTACTGGAAACCTCTAATTGTATTCTAGTGTGTTTGCCCGTATTCTAAAATCAAGACATTACAATGTGCGCCAAAGAAAAACAAACAAAAAACATAGAAAGTGATCAAATTTACCATACCAAGCTAAAAAGTTTAAATGAAAGGATTCTTTAATAAAACAGAGATTTCCTCGGCTCCCGACCTTACGCTGCTCATACAAAACAATAACATAACTGCAAAACTGCTCCCATCTCCAGAAGCATTTATATTAATATTACAGAACCATTAAATAAGAAAGAAAAAGGAAAAATGATATTATAAATCCTGCATCATGTATAAGCCCATCATTACAAATAAAAAGCAAATTGGACTACAATTTCACAAAGCACAAAGCTCCTCCATCAATCCAACGTGATGAAATATAATTTTTTTGTTTTTTTACATAACATCGAGGCCTTTTTGCTTGCAATCTGTACAACATCAGTTCTGTCAGTCTGCAGAGCATGACAACACCAAACACCCCCCCATTAAAACCTGTAGCTTTTAAAGGTGGTTTATATAGAGACGCAGCAGAGAAATTGGTTATTCTGCACAAACTTGTTTGATATTCGATGCTTTTCTTTGCTGCAGTGAAAACATGTCACTACTCCACTTACAGCTTGTGAATTCAAACTGACCATACCTGTTCTACACGAGGGATATTTTCTTGTTTTTTTTTATTTAAAACAAACAAAACAATCTAAAAGGCTCCAGCAGTTTTTCATAGGTGACTGTTCTCAGAGCTCTCTGCATCAGAGGATCCTCTCCAGACATTTACAGCTTGTACTCACTCCCACATACTAATCAGCCTCACACTGAAATGCAGTTTAGCGTAGTAGCTCAACAGGAATCCCCCAAGTCTAAAAAAGACTGGGGTGGGGGGGTGAGATGGGCCATGGGCATTAAAGTTCATGTCCCAAACTCTTATCCTCTGGTCTTCTTTTTCAGACCATGCTACACCACCTGCCTCCCTGCTCTTCATGATGGAAATCACAGCGCAAAGATGTCGCTGTGCTGCGTGTCAAAAAAAGTGACACAGATTTGGGGGGTGGGGTACACCTTGAGTTCCAGTATGAAGATGATTGGTCAGTGAAGTCACACAGCTTCCTTTTTTTGCTCTCTTTCTTTGTAACTAAGAACTTGCTATTAAACCTACTTCTTCTATGTACAACTTCTATACAATCACATTATAAGTTTGAATGCAATTCATTTCTCATGTAAATGCACCAGCGTGCTTGTGTGTGTGTATTTAGGCATTTTCAAACTTGTAGCCCCATTGCTGCCTCCCTCTGTCATTTAAATGTTCCCCTGTTCTCTGCTTCATGTGTGACGGGGTGGAGCATGCCTGCAGCAGCAAACCAAACCCTGAAGTGTTGTTTCTGCTGCATCCTGCTGTTCAAGGAAAGCAGATCAGCTGTGTGTTACTGGAATGATGCTGCACTGGACTGAAGCACAAATCACTTCTAATGGTCACAGAATTCTGTTTTTTTTGCTCCACAGTACAATGCTGGCACTGTACAGTTGTGAGGTAGATAAGGAGAGACACTACTCAGCACTGTACGGTTTAAAGCAAGCAAGGCTATCCTAAAAGCACAGCCGTGCTCAGACCTCAGCTGTCTACTCTTAAATTCTGTGAAGCCCTTAAATGAAGCTTGCAAATGAAACGACACATTACTCTTACTGCAGCACTCACATTGCTGGGTGCCAGTAATGATTGTACGGTGTGGTGTCCTAGAGCAAATCAATGCACTGCTGCATTCATTCATTTAAATAGCTATTAGATAATGGTCCCTTTTCCCTCTAGGGCCTTTTAAACCTGATTTTCTTTTGTTTGAAAAGAGGCAGCCAGCCAGCGTAGTACCAGTAATGACCAGAAGGTGGGGCGACTGTGCTGCAACAATTAAACTTAAGCATCAAAGGTGCAAACGTTTCAGCCAGGCGTGTGGATACAGCGCTGATGGATACAGGGCTGTATCCATCAGCAAAAAAACAAAAACAGTTGTGTGTGTTACGGTGTCAACATGGCAGAAAGTCTATATTTCTGAATAGCTGACAATTATAAAATTACATGTTGGCGGAGGAGAAGCCTGGTTAATGTCCCTGTGTGTGTGTGTGTGTGAGACAGCAGAACCACAGAGAAGCCTTGTTTGTTGTGTGTGTGTTCAAGAAGCGGCGATGGTGGTACCCCCGCTGAGGCGCAGCAGAATCTGCTGACAGTCCTGCAGCGACCGGCGGTCTCCCACCCGCTCCAGGGTTCGCTTGGCCTCAGCCAGTAGACGAGCTCTGTGCCCGGGCGGGGTTAGCAGGGGCATGGGGAGGTGGCGGCAGGCCAGCAGAATGGCGTGAGCTCTCTCCCTCTCGCCTAAAACACACTCGCCATCTGAAAGCAGGCAGGGAGGAGGGGAAAAGAAGAAGAAACTGGATAAATGTCTTTTCTCTTGGTGCGTCTCGTGTCGTACACTAGGACGGTGTTGCCTACCAGCTGTGTAGGAGCTGTGCGTCCTGCGTCGGAGGTTGTGCTCCAGCAGCTGGTGTGTCCTTGTGGGACTGGCTCCAGCCATCAGCCTCACTGTGGTCTCATGAAGGAACACCTAAATAACACAAACAGCTGTCATTATCAGGTATTTATTATCATTTCAACTTGGCTGAACACACATCTGAGCAGCCCGCAAATTCTCTCAGCAGGCACCAATGTCCGTGCACGTGTTACCAACCAGTTCCTCTGCTTTACTACAACTATTCCCCAACACTCTGTATTCATGTTTGTTTTTGGCCATGAACTCTTTGAAACAGCTCTGTATGCATAACATTTACAATTCAACTAAATTAAATATTAATTAAACTAAAATGCGGAGGTTTAGATTTTCAAGATTGACAGCAAGCCTTTAAAAACTTCACGATTTGTCTTTCTTCAGCCTCTTCAGTACCACACCAACGCAAACTCATTTTACATCAAACACACTTTGATCTGAACGCCAATTTCTGTCATCGTAAGAAATTTAACTGCACATTAAATCAATGAGACATCTTAATAAAAGACAAAGTATTGCAATTTCAAAAGTGTGTCTCAGTTTTTCTACATGATAAAGAAATAAAGAGTCAGCATGACTTTTGGACCTAAATTGTAAAATTACAGAACTCTATAATTGATTGGCTTTGTTGTATAATGAATGGAGGAGATTGTTATCAGCAGGGAAAGCTTGTAAAACCTGTGAAAAAGACTGTCCAAAATTTATGACCTCCTTCACATTTTCCAAAGCCAAAACGGGTCGGATTGGAGTCTTTGAAGGTTTTATTCTGGCCCTCGGGCCTTATGTTTGACACCCTTCTAACTCTTTGTCTACCTTCTTTCCTCAGATTTCCTCCACTGTGCTATCTAAGAGGCCAAATGTGAAAAACTTAACAGTCTCAAAAAACAACAAATACATTTACTAGAGGAGCCGTTAAAGCTCCTCTAGTAAATCTCAGAAGTGTGACTGATGATATGGTGAACTGAAGTGAAAGTTCTGGAAAT